GTCAGCACGGACATGCTGAGGTTGGCACGGACGTGCAGCTATACCTGCACGGACGTGCTGAGGTTGGCACGGGCGTGCACCTGGGAGGCAGAAGGTACTGTTTTTTTTAGGGCATCCTTTACGGACGTGCCAAATATGGCACGGACGTGCAGACCTCGTTCAGAAGAATCAGTATTGAAACTGATTTGGGCTGAGCAACCTGCACGGACGTGCAGTATCAGGCACGGACGTGCTGAATGTCCTGCACGGACGTGCTGAGTTCTGCACGACGTGCATGCCTTGAAAGCTATAGGCAGTAGCTTCAGGTCGTGCTGGAACACTTCAGCACGGACGTGCCATACTTTGCACGTCCGTGCAGACTCTCTAAGGCCTTTATCTTCACTTTTCTTCGGTTTTGCTCCATTGTTTCGGCTTCTAACCACGGTTTATCATCCAAATGCCTCAAATGGTCGTCTTTGAATCTAAAAACCCGACAAAAACACTAACAACCCGTGAAGAAAGGGATACACAAAAATTGAACAAAAATAGAGTATTAGTGAACCAAAATGCCAATACACCAAGTAAACATGGCTCACTCTAAAATCGTATCAAACAACAAGTTATCAAATCCCCCCAAGCTAAGCTTTTGCTAGTCCTCGAGCAAAACAAACATGTCAAATCAAGAATGAAGATTACTTGCTAATGATCAAACCAAGAAAAGATACTTAAAGAGAAAACACAAACACAAATCCGCATGGCAAGAACCATAAACACTTTTAGCACAAGTGAAAAGCAATTTAAACCCCTAAGTCGCCTAAGAGGACGAGTTTTTATCTCGTGAGGGTTTCCCTTGAGCTTAACCCACAACTCACACAAACCATGCCAAAATTGTCATAACACATCATCATCATCAAGGTGATCAATACACACCAAAACCAATGTTTTTATTGCCCAAGTCAACTCATCGGGATATAAATCACAAGCAAGACAAGTGAGCGACTTTCAAGAATTACCGATCATACAAATGTGCACATGAATTGGGGGTAGAGAGGAGAATTAATCAAGGTTGCACTAGGATACTTTCTTATACCTTTTACTAGTTCATTAAAGCACGTCTAGATATTCCAAAGTTGCAAAAATCCCTCTTTCGGTTATAAAATCTCAAAATGCAAGTCCACCTCCGAAAATGCACTCCCAATCCCCTTTAACTACACTCTAACTCGGAAATTTACACAAGAAACATCAAAATAGACAATGTGTGGGAGGCATCCACAATTTGACCTCTAGAGAAGAAAAAGTGAAAACTTTGAGAAATTTGGAGGAGTTTTTGATCTCCTTTTCTTTTTCTATTTTTTTTTTTCTTTTTTTTTTTAACATTCATTGCCCTCACCTCTTTTAACTGTAAGCGGCTCTTTCTTTTATTCGATACATGTGGCTTATTATGCCACTTATTACACAAGATACAAATAGAACCAATTTCCTAATAGAGTTTCATTTAGGGGGAGGAGGGGAGGAACATCAAGGGCACAAGGGACCGCAATTCGATTCAAACATATCCTACTTTGGGTAAATTTGACAATATCCTATACTAGACGTGCAATTGAGCATTCATCGGTTTTCATTTCATATACTCTAATGCAATCAAGATTAATAAGCCTCTAAATGACCCCAACTCTTGCACACACCCTTTTAAAAGAACTTTTACTCATCACTCAAGAGTCAAGCAAGCAAATCATATAAGCATCGTCATTTGAGTCTCATCCAAGGGCCATTTTTCCATTTTTTTTTTGTTTTTTTTAATTAGAGGTTACTAGAAAGCAAGAATAGATAAAAAAAAGTTAAGAAAACTAAGCTAATCATAAAAAAGAAAAAATTTGAAGCACAACTATACATCTGAATAAATAAAGAGAGAAGAGAAGAGAAGTATTCACATATTAAGAGATTTGGATTTAGGGTGTTGGATTTCAAAAGGAGAAAATTTGGATGTTTAGGGGTTTGGATGCTAGGGGAAGGAACAAACAACATGCAAAGTTTATACCAACAAGGACATACAAGAACCAACATATGAACCAAAGATAAAGACTCCCCCCAAGCTATCATAAACATTGTCCCCAATGTTAAAACAATTAAAGCACAAGAAGGGGAAGAAAGAGAACTAACTCATTAGCTCGGGCCTCCTTGGGAGCTTGAGCCCCCGGGGTACCAATGTCGGTAGACGTTCCGGAATTCACCCAATTCCGATTGAAGATCCTTAAAGCTTGTCCTCATATTGTCGTAGGAGGACCTCATGTCTTCGTGAGACTTTCTCATAGTCTCGAACTCGGTGGACATGCAGTTGAACCTGACATTCATCATCTGCATTTGTTGCTCAAAGGAAAGGGGTGGGTTGCCCTCACCCATGCCTTGACCTTTGTACCCTTCTTGGTACCCTTGTTGGTGCTCATATTGTTGTTGTTGTTGGAATTGTTGTTGGAAATGTTGTTGTTGCGGTTGTTGTTGTGGTTGTTCTTGCTCTTGCTCTTCTTCATCATCACCGGCAATCCAAGGGTGGTCCCTCTCGAAGACCCTGTTTCTCTCGTCGTAGATGAAGGTCCGCTCCGGATCGGGGAGGTAGGCATAGGGGCGGCCACTCACGTGCCACAAGTAAGGATGCGACCCTTCCACGTCCGCAACCCATCTCATGGTCCTAAGCGACTGCATGTCTAGCTGCATCGGCCCTGGGCAAACCTGCTCATCTGCAAAATCAAGGTTAAGAGCAGAAGCAATAATAGCGATCATGCCAACTATGGTGATGTTGCCGGACCCAGTGGCAACATCCTCTAGGTGATCAACAAACCAGGCCCCTACATCTAGGGTCGTACTACCCTTGCTCAAGTGCCATAGGAAGTGAAGCTCCCTAGTGGACACTACACCCGAACTATCACCTCTAGCGAACGTCGTGTTCGCTATGGTGCGCTGTGACATCCTAAAGGTGGGGTGGATTATGGCCGTAGCTTTATCAGTCCTAGGGTTGTAGTCGAAAAGGCCGGTGATCTTCCTCCAAAACTCACCCGCACAATAGTTACGAGGGAGCCTATCCTTTGGTCCTATGGTGCCGTTAATTGGCCACCCAAAAGCTTGGTTCACCCTCTTTATGTTCAAATTGTGTTGGGTGTTCATGAGTTGGAAGGTAAGGCGGCGGGAAGATCTATTGTTGTCTCGTTGCACTTGAAGGGTGGCGAGGAATTCAAGTGTCAACCTTTTTTAGGTCAAGGCGCTTAAATCTAGCAAATTTCCTAATTCACAACCCTCGAAAAGCATCCTAACATCGTCCCCTACCCCTAAAGCCTCGGCAACACTCTTGTCATAGAACTTTGTAGGTCGAAATCTCCTCCTACTTATTCTTATATAGTTATTCAAGAATGTTGGTTCATTGAACACGATTCCCATAGTGTCCACTTGTGGTGGATCAACAGGAGGAGGAGGAGAGGGGTTGCGGTACCTAGTATCCATGTTTCTAGGTCGATTCTTCTAGACATGGTCGGTCTTAATGCAATGCAATCAAACAAACCAAGACAAAATAATCACCTCGCAACCACACAAAGAGACTAAGTCCGCAAATCGACCAACCAAAGCTCAAACAAGGCCAATGAACACAACACAATCAAGTCAAGTTCTAAGTCTCCCACCTAAAACAAATCACCAAGCAACAAAGACCACTTCAATAATGCATCTACAACAATTCCACATCGATTTCATGCAATATTATCAAACAAACCAACACAACATTCAACCTAAACAAGCATGTTCTTCCTTCATGAAAATCAATTTTTCAACCTCACTTACAAAAAATCCAATTCTCAAAACAGACCAAAATTCATTCAAACTCAATAGTGCTTTTCAATTATCAACTATAAATCACTCACAACCAATTCAAACAAACTTTCTCAAGCAATTTCATGCAAAAATTCAAGAAATTAAACATGAAATTAGTGAAAGGGAGGAACGATTATACTGAGCTTATCGTGGGTGTAAAACCCGCAAATGAACCTTTCTAACCTTCCTTTTGCTTACTTGAACTTACTCCTTCAACTAATTGTCTTGAACTTTAACTCCAAAGAAACCTCCAAATTGATTTTTCAAGGTTAGGGTTAGAGTATTTTGGGTGATTTTTGGGTTTGAATGTGAGAAAAAGAGTAGTAGATTGTGAAAATGTTGAAATGGAGTGAAGATTTTGGAGAAAATTGTTGAATTTGGGTGAGAATGGAGAATTGAGTGGATTTTGAAGGAGGAAGTAAGAGTTTTAGAGAGGGGAGGAGTGAGAATCGTGAGAATGGAGAATTGTTGAATTTGGGTGAGAATGGAGAATTGAGTGGGTTTCGTTATAACCGTGCTGCTGCCAGCTATTTTCGGGGCGGCACGGACGTGCAGCTATTGGCACGGACGTTCAGCCTCAGACAGAAGCGTGAGTAAGGTCTGACTTATTTGGCACGGACGTGCAACATGCGGCACGGACGTGCTAAGTTGCAAGGACGTGCACCCTCAGACAGAAACTAAGATAACATACTGACTTGTTCAGCACGGACGTGCAGGACTTGGCACGGACGTGCTTAGCCACCCTGAACGGACGTGCTTAATTTGGCACGTCCGTGCCAATCTAGAGAAATTTAATTCAAAGTTTTTGATTGCTTCTGACTGCCTATGCACGGACGTGCTATTCTCTGCACGTCCGTGCAGACCTGCTGTTGCACGATCCTTTCCTTTTTTTTTTTTTTGAATAATAGTAATAGTAAGGCATAATAATAATAAAATTATTATCATTACCCTTATTATTATTATTATCTACTACTTCACTTCCACGAAAACCTTTCCTTACTTTTCTTTTCATCAACACCTAGAAAAAGACATTTGAGAGAAAAGTTAGTAATAGTAAGAGTGATGGAAATTAAATAATAGTTTGTGAGAGAGAGAGAGAGTTGAGAAACTCGGGTTGCCTCCCGGAAGCGCTCTTTTAACGTCACTAGCTTGACGACATTGTGAGATCAATGAGAGTAGGGAACATCAAACTCATCAAGGTGAACAACCTTGGCTTCCTCAGGCACAAAACCGTCAAAGTATGCCTTAAGCCTTTGGCCATTCACTTTAAACGGTTCACCATTGTTATTTGAGATTTCTATCGCTCCATATGGAAACACCTTCTTAACGGTGAAAGGTCCACTCCATCTTGACTTTAGCTTACCCGGAAACAACTTCAACCGGGAATTGAAAAGTAGGACCTTATCACCTTCCTTAAACTCCCTTTTGCTAATATGCTTGTCATGCCAAGCCTTGGTCTTTTCTTTGTAAATCCTTGCACTCTCATATGCATCCATTCTTAATTCTTCCAAGGCGTGGAGGTCAAGCAACCTCTTCTCACCGGCGCTTTGAAGGTCGAAATTCAATGTTTTGATAGCCCAATGAGCCCGATACTCAAGTTCTACCGGCAAGTGGCATGACTTCCCATAAACAAGCTTTTATGGTGTGGTGCCAATAGGAGTTTTGAACGCGGTGCGATAGGCCCATAGAGCATAATCAAGCTTTGTAGACCAATCTTTTCTAGACCTATCCACCGTTTTCTCAAGGATCATTTTTACCTCCCGGTTTGAAATTTCAGCTTGACCACTTCTTTGGGGGTGGTAAGCTAAAGACACCTTGTGCCTTACACCATATTTCTCAAGGAGAGCTTGAAAGGATCGCTTTGTAAAGTGTGAACCTCCATCACTAATCACAACCCGGGGCACTCCAAACCTTGGGAAAATTACTCTTTTGAAGAGCTTGACCACAACCTTAGCATCATTAGTAGGAGATGCAACCGCTTCCACCCACTTTGATACGTAATCGACGGCCACTAGAATGAACTTGTTTCTAAAAGAGCTCGGGAAAGACCCCATAAAATCAATGCCCCATACATAAAAAATTTCAAGTTCAAGGATGTTGTTCAAAGGCATTTCATTTCTTTTTGAAATATTACCGGTTCTTTGACACCGATTACAAGCTTTCACCACACCCCACACATCTTTGAACATTGTTGGCCAAAAGAAACTGCATTGCAATATTTTCGCCAAGGTCTTGTTGGCACTCATATGTCCTCCACAAGGTGAGGAGTGACACATTGTGATAACATCTTCAATTTCATTATCCGGGACACACCTTCTAAAAAGGCCATCAACACCTTGTTTGAAGAGCAAGGGGTCGTCCCAAAAGTATTGGCGAACATCATGAAAAAACTTCCTTTTTTGTTGATAGGAGAGGTCGGAAGGGAGAATAGAGCAAGACAAGTAGTTTGCAATGTCCGAAAACCATGTTGCTGGTGCTTAGAGAATAGCAAATAGTTGATCATCCGGGAATGAATCGTCGATTGGCAAGTTATCAAGATCGCCTACAAGGATAGGCAACCGTGAAAGATGACCGACCACCACATTTTTGGCACCCTTCTTGTCCCTAATCTCAATGTCATAGTCTTGTAAGAGCAAGACCCACCGTATCAATCTTGGCTTTGGTTCCTTCTTGGACAAGAGGTACTTCAAGGCCGCATGGTCGGTGAAGACTATCACTTTAGATCCCAACAAGTATGACCTAAACTTCTCCATTGCATGAACAATGGCTAGAAAATCCTTTTTCGTGGTTGTGTAATTCCTTTGTGCATCATCCAAAGTTTTGCTAGTGTAGTAGATAGTATGGAGCTTCTTATCCTTCCTTTGTCCAAGAACGGACCCAATGGCAAAATCCAATGCATCACACATAAGCTCAAAAGGAAGCTCCCAATTAGGGGGTTGAATGATAGGAGCCGAAATCAATGCCTCCTTCAACCTATCAAATGCTAGCAAACAATCATTAGTAAACACAAAAGGGGCATCCTTTACCAACAATTGAGTGAGCGGCTTTGCGATTTTTGAAAAATCCTTTATGAACCGGCGGTAAAAACCCGCGTGTCTAAGAAAGCTCCTTATCCCCTTCACATTTGTAGGGGGTGGGAGGCGCTCAATGACCTCAATTTTGGCACGATTTACTTCAATGCCCCTACTAGAAATTACATGACCAAGAACAATTCCTTCTTCTACCATGAAATGACATTTTTCCCAATTCAAAACCAAGTTCACCTCTTGACATCTTTTCAATACTTTAATCAAATTTGAAAGGCAAATGTCAAAAGATGAACCAAAAACAGAAAAGTCATCCATGAATACTTCAATTGATGATTCAAGCATGTCGGAAAAAATAGACATCATACACCTTTGAAATGTGGAAGGTGGATTACAAAGCCCAAATGGCATCCTTCGATAAGCAAAGGTGCCAAAAGGGCATGTGAATGTAGTCTTCTCTTGATCCTCGGGTTGGATTGGGATTTGGAAGAATCCCGAGTATCCATCCAAGAAACAATAGTGACTATGTGATGCTAGTCTTTCCAATATTTGATCGATGAAGGGGAGTGGGAAGTGGTCTTTCCGGGTGGACTTATTCAATTTTCGATAATCAATACTCATCCTCCACCTGGTGACCGACCTCGTAGAAATGGTCTCACCCTTATCATTCTTAATGATGGTCATGCCTCCTTTTTTAGGCACAACTTGAACCGAGCTAACCCACTTACTATCGGAGATAGGGTAGATTATTCCCGCTTCAAGAAGTTTTAAAACTTCTTTTTTCACAACTTCCTTCATGTTTGGATTGAGCCTTCTTTGGTGCTCAATCGAGGAAGCATGATCATCATCAAGTAAAATCTTATGCATGCATATAGTAGGACTTATCCCATTAATGTCATCAATTTTGTACCCAATGACACCTCTATACTCCCTTAAAACAGCTAGGAGTTTCCCAAGAGAGGTATCATCAATTTTAGCATTGACAATAATGGGATAATTCTCACTATCATCAAGAAAAGCATATTTAAGTAAAGGAGGAAGGGGTTTAAGTTCAACCATGTGAGGAGGCGTAATCCTCTCCTCTTTTACCTCCACATTAAGCACTTCCACTTTCTTTTCGTTGTGGACTAAAGGTTGGTTGAGCAAAAGATCATACCCCCTCGTTTCTTCACCTTCCTCAACTAAGCCTCCCGTTAGGATAGCTTGTAAAGGATCTCATTCAAACAAATTTTCTTGGAACTTCTCTAAGTCCCTTTCCAATGTATCAACTCTATGAACTTCATCATACAATGGCTTTTTCAATGTTTGTGGGAATGAAAATGATATTTTCTCATATCCCACATTCAAGGTCAATCTTCCTTGCTTCATATCAATTACAACACCCGCGGTGTTCAAAAACGGTATTCCCAATATTAGGGGCACCGTAGTATCTTCTTCCATTTCCATTACCACAAAATCGCATGGCACAAATACTCTTCCAACTTGAACCGGTACATCTTCAAGAATTCCCAAAGGTAGCCTAACCGTGCGGTCGGCCAATTGTAAGGACATTCTTGTTGGCTTCAAGTCTCCCACTTTCAAACTCTTAGCAATAGAATAGGGCATCAAACTCACACTTGCCCCAAGATCACATAAAGCATCCATAGCCTCTAAGTCTCTAATCTTCACCGGTATTGCATAGCTACCGGGGTCACCAAGCTTTTAAGGGAGCTTGTTTTGAATGATTACACTCACCTCCTTAGGAAGGGATATGGTTGCAATCTCTTCAAGCCTACTCTTGTTGGATAAAAGATCCTTCAAAAATTTTACATATGTAGGCATTTGTGACATAGCATGAAGAAAGGGGATATTTACTTGAAGTCCTCTCATGATTTCAAGAAAGTTTGAAAACTTTTCATTCAATTTCTTTTCAACAATCCTATGAGGGAATGGAATGGGAGGCTTGTATACTTTCATGGGGGGCTTTTCTACCTTTTCCTCATCTCTCTCATTCTTACTTTGTGGCTCCTTTCTCTCAACATCAACTATCTCATTTTCAAACTCATCCTCATTTCTCACCACAAATCCCTCATCTCTCTTTTGTGGCTCCTCTTCACTCATAACCGGCCCTTCATAACCTCTCCCCGATCTCAAAGTAATGGCCTTAGCTTTCTCTTTTGGGTTCACAACCGTTGAGCTTGGGAAGTGACCACTAGGATTGGAGGATGAACTTCCAACTTGTTGCGCAATTTGAGCCAATTGATTCTCAATTATCTTGTTGTGTTATTGAAGTTGTTGGATGTTCGCTTGCATATCCGCATTGCTTCATCCTTGTTGTGTAATGAAGGTCTCAAGTGCGGCTTCAAGGCTAGATTTTTGAGGAGGTGGAGGAGCGGGTTGGTTATATTGTTGCCTTTATTGGTTTTGGTCCCTTTGGTTAGGGTGATGGTAAGGAGCTTGTTGGTTTTGTGGATGAGATTGATTATATTGGTTTTGAGGGGGGCCTTGATTTTGTTGTTTCCAACCCGTGTTTTGTTAGGGTTTCCAACCTTGATTGTAGGGTTGAGAGTATTGATCGTTTCTTTGCCCAATAGCCGCATCTTGTTCTTGGTTAGTTGAGTTGCAATATGAGGACAAGTGATCATTTCCCCCACAAGTTTCACAAGACATGACTTGTTGTGAAGAAGAGCTTGGAGATGTAAGCGTGGCTTGATCTAGCTTGTGAGCTAGCATGTCAAACTTTGATGCAATAAGGTCTATTTCACTAAGGTCGTGGATTCCGCCCTTCTTTGCTTGAGGTTGCCGTCTATCACCTCCATATGCATAGTGCTTTGCCACTTCTTCAATCATCTTGTATGCATCATCCACCGATAGCTTTTTAAGGCTACCACCGGCCCCGTTATCAAGGTTGGCCCTTGAAGTAGGAGTAAGACCATCATAAAAGATTTGAACAATGATCCATGATGTGAAACCATGGTGTGGGCATTTCCTAGTGTAGTCCTTAAAACGCTCCCAAGCTTCACTTAAGGTTTCATCAATCTCTTGGTTGAAATTGGTGATTTTCCTTCTTAGTTCGGCGGTCTTTTCGGGTGGACAATACTTTCCAAGGAAAGCTCTAGTGACTTCGTCCCATGTGGTCAATGATCCCTCTTCTACCTTTCTCAACCAATGCTTTGCTTTGTCAAGGAGGGAAAATTGAAACACGTGCATACGGATGAACTCTTCTGTAATGTTGTTTTGCTTGATGGTTGTGCACAATTCGATAAAGTTGTCCAAATGAGCAAAAGGACACTCATGAGAACTCCCACCAAATTGATCACTTTGTATCATACGGATGAGTTGAGGTGAAAGCTCAAAATTATTTGCATTCGTAGTAGGGAGACGTATGCCACTCCGAAGTGTGAAGGCGGTTGGGTGGTCATAATCTCGTAACAATGGTGGAGGAGGATTGTTATCACCCATGGTATCTTCTTCGTTGGTTGCAAAGATTTTCTTCAAATCGGAATCCGAATATACAACAGAGAACTCGGGTGTGCCTTGCAAAAGCCTCCTCACGTTTCTCAAAGTCCTATTTAACAATGGATCAACGGGAATAAGCGGTGATTGCTTACTCTTCCGTGTCATGAAAGGTCAAACAAAGCTAAGAAAAACGTTAGCAATGACTATCACAAGTTGAAAACACAAATATAAAAAAATAAATAAGAAAAATTATGATACAAATATACACACTTAGACTCATTCAACAATAATACATTCAATGTGACTTTGCCTCCCCGGCAACGGCGCCAAAATTTGATAGGCCGTCGTTGAGCCTACCAAAGATAAAATCCTATCTTGGTCTTACTATCTAATAGTAAGGGTAAGAAAGGGTCGAACCCAAGAGAGGCGTTGAATTAACCACCGAAATACTACCGCGTAAATAAGCTAAATGAAGTTGAAATTGGTTTGGTTTTATGTAACAAGTGCTAGTTCAAGTCAACTAAAGCTAGGGGGAGATTAACAATATTAAGAGAGTTCTAGGGCTTGGGATATACCACTCAATTTCGTCACAAATCACAATTAGCAAGTAGCAAACATGGTAATTTGAGGGGATAGTATAGGGGAAGTCATCTAAAGCACCCAACTACTCTCTCAAGCTAGAGGGATTACTCGAATTGTGAATACAACCTACTCTCGTGGTTACAAAGCATAAAACAAGTATTAAAGCATAATCACGATGACAAAAACATTCCCTTGACTGGAAATTCCTATTCTCATGGAATTTCAAGTCAATTAAGCATAAGGGAGCTAACTCAAGTTCATCTCTCGATCCTTCGCTGAGAAAGCTTAGATAATAGTTCTAGCAATGGCCATATACAAGAACTAAGCAATCAAACCACTTAAGCTCAAGTAATTAACACCCAACAATTACCAAATTAACACATGCAACAAGTAATTAGTGACTACATTGAGGGTTTTACCAGAACCCTTGAAAATTAGACTACTCACAATCCATGGAGATTTAAGCAATTAAGGATTTCAAGAACTCATGAACAAGAATTAACTAAAGATTAAGCTAAATAACAATCTAAGCATACAAGAATTAAGCAAGATAATTAACAATCAAAGCAATTAAAATGGAAGAGAAGAGTAAGAAAATGTTACTAGGAGCTTCAACTAGAATATCAATGGTGGAACTTGTCTTTTACAATGATTGAGAATGAAATTTCCAAGCTAATAATTATAATCTAACTAATGATTTGAGAATATTTGTGTTCTACAATTGCAAACTAAGAGGAAGCACTAAAAACTTGGATGCCGTACAAATGAGCTCAAAGGGTTATTTATAAAGACTGCCAAATAAAAAGGACGGAGAAAACAAGAGTCGGGCACGGCTGCAGGTCAGCACGGACGTGCTGAGGTTGGCACGGACGTGCAACTATACCTGCACGGACGTGCTGAGGTTGGCACGGGCGTGCACCTGGGAGGCAAAAGGTACTGTTTTAGTCAGGGCATTCTGCACAGACGTGCCAAATATGGCACGGACGTGCAGGCCTCGTTCAGAAGAATCAGTTTTAAAACTAATTTGGGCTGAGCAACCTGCACGGACGTGCAGGATCAGGTACGGACGTGCTGAATTATGCACGGACGTGCAGGCCTTGAAAGCAGTAGGCAGTAGCTTCTGGTCGTGCTGGAACACTTCTGCACGGACGTGCCATACTTTGCATGTCCGTGCAGACTCTCTAAGGCCTTTATCTTCACTTTTCTTCGATTTTGCTCCATTGTTTCGGCTTCTAACCTCGATTTATCATCCAAATGCCTCAAATGGTCGTTTTTGAACCTAAAAACCCGACAAAAACACTAACAACCCGTGAAGCAATGGATACACAAAAGTTGAACAAAAAATAGAGTAAAAGTGAACCAAAATGCCAATATACCAAGTAAACAAGGCTCGAAATCACTCTAAAATCGTATCAAAACAACAAGTTATCACTTAGGCACGGAGGCTAAGCACTTCATACTTCGATATGCAATGATGATTATGAGTGATTTGACGAAGCATGCTTCAGCGTTGTGTTAAGATTTCATGACAAAGGGTTCCCAAGGGAAGTATATTTGGTCATGTGTCTGTGCGGTGTGTGATAGTGATTCTAAATTTAGGCCGCAAGAGCTAAGTATGTGGAAATATATTATTTGTTAAAAGAGTCAAATGGTGGTGACTCTTAGGCTAGGTAAGCTAATAATATAGGGATCAAGCCCCCAAGTCTAGCTCTAAGTAAATCGGGATGAACATAGGGAATCCCTTGATATGATCATGGTGTGGGTGTGTGAATGTGAATGTGAATATGAATGCATGTTTATTACGGCCGCACCTCGATGTGAGGTTGCCTACGTATCCGTTAGGAATCAGGCCGAACGTAGCTCTAGCCGAACCTCGCACAAGTATGTGTATACCTCAAAAAGGTCTTTTTAAGGGTTGTAACGTGGTTAGGCTAAAGGTTAAAGAAGAAGGGGATAAAAGGCTCAAGACCCTAGATAAGCCCCTAAGGTGTGCAACTTTGCTTTTAAATATTTGTATTTTCATGCTTGAGGTTTTCTACTCTTTTTTAGCTATTTTTTTTTTTTTTGCTTTAGCATTTATTTAATTTTTATAAGTGTGGGCAATCCCGATCATGCGGTCTATCACTCACTTGGAATTCATGTTTCTCAAGCACGGTACCGAGCACTCGATAAGAGGCGCAATCTGAGACGTGTCCATATCAAAGACATGTTTATGTCAATGACATTGGAACACTTGCCCTTTTGTACACTTGTATTATTATATTTTGCTTATTATTTTTTATTTTGATCTTCTGAAATCACTCAAGCTTTGTTCTTTGAAAATTGCATAAGTTGCACACCATCCCATCCCAAGGTTAGGTAGATGTAGGTTGAAGAAAGAAAGGTCTATTGTTAGACGAGGCTCAAAGTGGTTTATCAAGAAAAAAGGATTGTATATTTGAAGGGTGAAAGGTGATATGATGTGGCTACAAGGGGTGCCTCAAATCATTGGTATACCTTGTGCTTAGTTTGACATGGATTTTTTTTTAATGCAATGATCATATGCAAGGAAATAAATGCTCATTTTATTTAAAAAAAAGGGAAAATAAAGAATCTACAAAATTAATCTAAGGGAAAAGAAAAGGTCCCTATGCTAGACTTATTGGGGAAAGGATAAATAAAGAAAAAGAAAAAGGATGTCATGGAATCTCGTCGTTGAAGCTCGCCTCTTGTCTTGTGTTGTTTGCTTTATCATCACTCGCTCTTCTTGTTAACTGGAGGTGTGGGAAGCTTGTTATTATCAATAAAATGTTAGATATCCTCCTTGAGCTTCCAACAGCTCTCAGTGGCATGACCCCTACCTTGATGGTACTTACAGCGCACATTTGGATTCCAACTAGGCACTCTCTTCTCAAGCGGGGGATCTTGAAGTGGTCCAATAGGAGTAATGAGTCCCTTGGTATGGATTCGATCGAAAGCATCATCGTAGCTAATTCTAATAGGGGTAAAATCCCTTTTTTGTTGCTTTCTAAATCCTAAGATCTCATTAAGGTCGAAAGTACCAACACTGTTGCTAGAGTAGGTGTTTTCGGAAGGAGAAG